ATAACACATGATTAAGGGAGCAATCAGAAAAGAAATATTTCCTACTGTTATTTTTGGAAAAATATATTTTTTTTTTCTGTAATCACACAAATTGTACATTACAAAAAAAAAAAAAAAAAAGTACAAATATATCACTACACAAAATTAATTTACCTCAATCTTTGGCATAACTCTTATTTGCTATATAAAAAAAAAATGGACATACAATGGACATAATGCATTCTAAGCACCACCTTCCAATTATTCATGTCTTTTTTTAAGTGACAGCATCTCTCTATTCATTCACACCCTACAAACACTTAACATGAAAAAAAAATATGTTAGTCTTTATATCTTCATGATAACCACTCCATCATAATGTAAACCACGTACACACAATACACATAACCTGTTCATAATCATACTGTATACAACAACGTGAGTGCCTGTTACAGCGAAAATAAGAATAACTGTACTTCATATTTCAGGCAATTAATACATTACAAATATCAGTACATGCAAGTGCTCACACAAGCAAATAACAAAAGAAACTATTCTGTTTGTGGCTTAAGGCTCAACAAGATCTTTAACCCATTGGTGCTGGGTACATGCTTTGTTCGTGGTAGCTTCATTAATTCTGCTCACAGAAAGATGGCGACACAAGTGCTTAGTCACCAATGAATCATTTAGTACACCTACCTGATCTCACCTGCTTACTATGGTCCTCAATTCCTTATGATTTTTTTTTTTTTCTTTTTATAATATCATGATTATCACGACAACTGTTATTACTTTCCTAAAATTCTAGGACTAAGGCAGAGTGAGATGAGGCGAGCCTTGTGACTGACTCCGCTGTGACTAAGCAAAATAAATAAAAGTAGAAGTGGATAGGGCATGTAAGCATGTCATCCCAACATCAACAGTTTAAATTATACTTCTATAAAAATTCTGTGATTCACTTTCATTCGGACCCATGTGTATGTGTATGTTATCAGCTGATGTGGACTTCCCACTACTTCACTCTTCTTACTGTTTCAGGCATGTTCATAAATACAGATCTATAAGAAGAGGCACTTTAGAGAACAAGCTTCTCCAGAGAACAATTAATAAATATGCTTAAGATAAACCTGGTGTTGACAACTCTGGTGTCGGCAACACATGTGCCCGTAACACCTCAAGGAGAATTCTGAGCTGTGATATAAACCCAGTGAATACAACAACGAGAAGCAAAATACATTATAATTCCTGAGTATAATTGAAACTGGTAAATATCATATATTCAAAATAGTAAGCAAATGTTAAAGACATCAATGGCAGTGATGTAAAAACATGATATTGCTACAAAATCTATAAGTGAAGTACAGAGGTAAACGATTTAACGGTTGGAACAACGTGTTGCACAGCAAAGCTATCTTGATCTCTTGTATAATGAAAATGAACACTGCCACACTTATATATAGATGCACATAGCTATACACACGAATATGAGTGTGCACACATCCACACACCCGCACACATGTGCATACATGTACACACACACACACACACACACACAACATGTACACACATGTACACACATGTACACACATGTACACACATGTACACACATGTACACACATGTACACACATGTACACACATGTACACACATGTACACACATGTACACACATGTACACACATGTACACACATGTACACATATGTACACATATGTACACATATGTACACATATGTACACATATGTACACATATGTACACATATATACATATATGTACACATATGTACACACATGTACACACATGTACACACATGTACACACATGTACACACATGTACACACATGTACACACATGTACACACATGTACACACATGTACACACATGTACACACATGTACACATATGTACACACATGTACACACATGTACACACATGTACACACATGTACACACATGTACACACATGTACACACACACACACACACACACACACACACACACACACACACACACACACACACACACACACACACACACACACACACACACACACACATATAAAATGAATCTGTTACTACAGCAAAAGTGTGTAAGCATCAATCAGATACACTGACAATATTAATATTTGCAATTAGGCAGAATAAAGAAAAACAAAAAAAAACTTAGATTTCTTTAGCTGCAAAATAATTTCCGATGACCATACAGCAAAAGTGTGTAAGCATCAATCAGATACACTGACAATATTAATATTTGCAATTAGGCAGAATAAAGAAAAACAAAAAAAAACTTAGATTAAGATTTCTCTCGTTTTTTTTTTTTTTTATAATATCATGATTATCACGACAACTGTTATTACTTTCCTAAAATTCTAGGACCAAGGCAGAGTGAGATGAGGTGAGCCTTGTGACTGACTCCGCTGTGACTAAGCAAAATAAATAAAAATAGAAGTGGATAGGCCATGTAAGCATGTCATCCCAACATCAACAGTTTAAATTATACTTCTATAAAAATTCTGTGATTCACTTTCATTCGGACCCATGTGTATGTGTATGTTATCAGCTGATGTGGACTTCCCACTACTTCACTCTTCTTGCTATTCCAGGCATGTTCATAAATACAGATCTATAAGAAGAGGCACTTTAGAGAACAAGCTTCTCCAGAGAACAATTAATAAATATGCTTAAGATAAACCTGGTGTTGACAACTCTGGTGTCGGCAACACATGTGCCCGTAACACCTCAAGGAGAATTCTGAGCTGTGATATAAACCCAGTGAATACAACAACGAGAAGCAAAATACATTATAATTCCTGAGTATAATTGAAACTGGTAAATATCATATATTCAAAATAGTAAGCAAATGTTAAAGACATCAATGGCAGTGATGTAAAAACATGATATTGCTACAAAATCTATAAGTGAAGTACAGAGGTAAACGATTTAACGGTTGGAACAACGTGTTGCACAGCAAAGCTATCTTGATCTCTTGTATAATGAAAATGAACACTGCCACACTTATATATAGATGCACATAGCTATACACACGAATATGAGTGTGCACACATCCACACACCCGCACACATGTGCATACATGTACACACACACACACACACACACATGTACACACATGTACACACATGTACACACATGTACACACATGTACACACACACACACACACACACACACACACACACACACACACACACACACACACACACACACACACACACACACACACACATATAAAATGAATCTGTTACTACACAAGAAGGCTACTTCTTACACCCCTTACGGAAACTATAGAGGCTATCAGCTTTTGAGTGTGTGTTATGGAAAAGTGTAAATATTCAACTACAAAACTCCCTTTCCGTAATACACCAAACCAAAACCAAGTGTCATTACTATTTACATCTAGTTAATGTTATGATAATAATAAACAGAATTTGAAATTGAAAAAAAATACTAAATACATACATACATACATACATACATACATATATATATGTATATATATATATATATATATATATATATATATATATATATATATATATATATATTATATATATATATATATGTATATACATCACTAAGATATACTGAACGAAATCCCATGACAGTTTAATCCATGTAAATTGTGACAAAAGGACAAAGTGTTTTTTAACTCTTTAAGGAACCAAACTAATCTTTCCTATTTCAGCTTTTTTCTTTTAACTGAAGTAGTCTCACAAACTGATACCTACATGACAAGAAGAACTATACTTTACAACTGGAGAACTATTGCAAGACAGTCAACAAAAATATCTTAATAAATATTTGAGGAGAGGAGCAAACCGAATTTGCATTTGCAAGAGTAGTTTGAACCTGAAGTCTTGACAACACTTCAACTTGACTTTTTCACTAGTTCGTAAATTCTACACTGCATATAATCTTAAAAACTTCAATTTCTTTAGCTGCAAAATAATTTCCTATGACCATACAGCAAAAGTGTGTAAGCATCAATCACATACACTGACAATATTAATATTTGCAATTAGGCAGAATAAAGAAAAAAAAACAACCATAGATTAAGATTTCTCTCGTTTTTTTTTTGTTTTTTTTTTTTTTGTGAGTGAATGAGTGAATGAGTGAATGAGTGAATGAGTGAATGAGTGAATGAGTGAATGAGTGAATGAGTGAATGAGTGAATGAGTGAATGAGTGAATGAGTGAATGAGTGAATGAGTGAATGAGTGAATGAGTGAATGAGTGAATGAGTGAATGAGTGAATGAGTGAATGAGTGAATGAGTGAATGAGTGAATGAGTGAATGAGTGAATGAGTGAATGAGTGAATGAGTGAATGAGTGAATGAGTGAATGAGTGAATGAGTGAATGAGTGAATGAGTGAATGAGTGAATGAGTGAATGAGTGAATGAGTGAATGAGTGAATGAGTGAATGAGTGAATGAGTGAATGAGTGAATGAGTGAATGAGTGAATGAGTGAATGAGTGAATGAGTGAATGAGTGAATGAGTGAATGAGTGAATGAGTGAATGAGTGAATGAGTGAATGAGTGAATGAGTGAATGAGTGAATGAGTGAATGAGTGAATGAGTGAATGAGTGAATGAGTGAATGAGTGAATGAGTGAATGAGTGAATGAGTGAATGAGTGAATGAGTGAATGAGTGAATGAGTGAATGAGTGAATGAGTGAATGAGTGAATGAGTGAATGAGTGAATGAGTGAATGAGTGAATGAGTGAATGAGTGAATGAGTGAATGAGTGAATGAGTGAATGAGTGAATGAGTGAATGAGTGAATGAGTGAATGAGTGAATGAGTGAATGAGTGAATGAGTGAATGAGTGAATGAGTGAATGAGTGAATGAGTGAATGAGTGAATGAGTGAATGAGTGAATGAGTGAATGAGTGAATGAGTGAATGAGTGAATGAGTGAATGAGTGAATGAGTGAATGAGTGAATGAGTGAATGAGTGAATGAGTGAATGAGTGAATGAGTGAATGAGTGAATGAGTGAATGAGTGAATGAGTGA